TTTATGCAAGCCTCAATCTCCAAGTTTGTCAGTTATTCTAACTTTCTCTCTAGTTGTTTATATTAATCTCATATATAATTGATGTTGTGAATTTCCTTATGATTATTATCATTGGAATTATATTGTTATTTTTCATATTTTCGAATATTGCTCCAATAGTCCTATATATGGATGACTTGTTGTTGGCAAGCTCAGATATGCAGCTTCTGAGTACAACAAAAAACATGCTCACTGACAGCTTCGAAATGAAGGACCTGGGACAAGCTCATTTTGTTCTAGGCATTGAAATACGAAGAGATAGAAACAAGAGGACACTTGGACTATCACAAAAGGCTTATATTGACAAAGTGATCAAAAGATTCAATATGGAAAAGTGCTCGGGAGGAGAGATGCCTATACGCAAGGGTGTGACAAACTCAATAGTGATCATTGCCCTAAAAATGAACTAGAAAGGCTAAGTATGAAAAACAAGCCTTTTGCATCACTACTGGGAAGTTTGATGTACGCACAAGTTTGCACAAGGTCTGACTTGTCATTTGATGTGAGTGTACTGGGTAGATTTCAATCAAATCCTTGTACAACTCACTGGGTGGCGGCCAAGAAAGTAATAAGATATTTGAAAAGGATAAGAGATTTCATGCTAGTTTACAGTCATATGGAGAATCTTGAAATTGTGCCCTACTGTGATGTAGACTTAGTTGGCTGCATGGATGACAGGAAATCTACAAGTGGATACATATTCATGCTAGCAAATGAAGCAATGTCATGGAAGAGCAAGAAGCAATCTTCAATTGCCACTTCCACCATGGAGGCAGAGTTCATTGCATGTTACACTGCGACCAAGCAAGCAATAGGGATGAGAAATCTTATCAAATGTTTGAGAGTGGTTGATTCAATCCACAGGCCATTGATATTATTTTGTGACAACAAAGCAGATGTGTTCTTCTCAAGAAATAACAAAGGGTCACTAGCTTGTAGGCTTATGGATATGAAGTATCTGAAAGTGAGAGATGAAATAAGGAAGATGACTGTCGACATTGAACACATTGGCACAAATTACATGCTGGTTGATCCCATGACAAAGGCTTTGCTAGTGGGAGTGTTCAAGAAACTTGTTTATAACATGAGAGTTCATGAAACATTTGAATCTGCAAATGAGTGGGAGTAATGGTTAATTAGACCACTCATCATCTAAATCTATCAATTGTTATGAATTCATCCAATAATTTGTCATGATGATGATTATTTTGTTCATACTCTTGCATAAACTGGCTGTCGATAGATGTTGTGAGCCAAAACTTAAGCTTAAAGCTCGATTATTGAAATGGGTGAAACTGATATCAAGATAATCAGTCCCATACACCTTAGCATAATCTGCAGTCATGCACTGAGATCATGCACCAGTAATTATGGAACAAGAATGCAGAAAGATATGCATTTGAGTTTCCATAGTTCTGTGTTTCGATTTTGGACATGCCTGTTTTATAGGGACAACCGTTGTGCTAATAATTCAGTGATCACCACGATACATGTTGCGATCGAATTAAAACACTTGACACTCAAAGTGGGAGAATGTAAGAACCATGTTGAATTGTCCAGTGTTGGGTTTCGAATCACAATTAGAAGGATGTTACTTGCATGGCAAGTAATCAGCCTTCAATGTGATTAGCTGAATGATTAGCATGCATCGTGGAATTGTTAGCTCATTAGTTGACTATTGGAAAGACCTAATTAAGGAAGATATCAATATATGCCTTGGTAGGACAATATATGGATTAAATGGTGATTAGAGGAATCAATCCAATTACCATAATAGGCGGTATTGGAGGAAACCCTAAGAGCTATAATAAGGATGCCCCTGCTCTCTCTAGACCATGTTCCATTACTCGAGCAATCCCTATTACTTGCTGGAACTCTTCTGCTAGAAGAAAGGAGAAGACACCCTGCAATTCACTTAACCAAATGGCTCCCATTCGTGCAGGTCTGTTTACTTTCATTCTTCATGCATCACTGCGCATATATATATATATATATATATATATATATATATATATATTATATATTGCATGTTCTGCTTGTGATGCTAGTAACATGTTGGAACTGATACAACTTACATAGGGCATCTGTAAGCGGGATTCTGAATTATGTGACTGATGTAAATTGTAACATGAAATAGGGTACCTGTAGTTGACAAGCTAGATCAGATGTCTGTCTGAATTCTCTACCTAGTGAAAACTCGCTGGTCATTTTGACACCAATATTGGCTCTTTAAGTTCATTGCTCAAACCCTGTAAAGGCCCTCCATATATGAATTCTTACTTACAACACCGTTGTATACAACCGACCTCTCAAATCTGTTGTCACGTGATCAGCACGTTAAGAGCTGGATGTGAGAGGTCAGTTGTACACAACGGTTGCAGGCATTCCCAAACTCACATTGTGCACTCAAATGCTTACAAGCACCACCACCAAACCTTATTCCACTAAGTAGGGTCAGCTACATGAATATTAGAACGTCATTGCGCATGTGCGCCAAGTCTTCCGTTAGCTCCAATTACTTCATATATTTTCTTATAATCTTTTTCAAAATCTTCTTCTACCTTTTTTGCCCTAAGCCTCTATCTCATAGTCACATCTTCTAACCAGAGCACCAAACCATTTTAACCGACTTTCTCTTATCTTATCTTCAATTGCGACCACTCCTACTTTACCCCGAATATCCTCATTCTTAATCCTATCCATCTTGTGTGCCCACACATCCAACCAAGCATTATCGTCTCTGCTACACTCATTTTTTGCACGTATTGCTTTTTGAACACCCAACATTTCGTTTCATAAAGTATCGATGGCCTTATTGTTGTCCTATATAAAAATTTTCTTGAGTTTTAGTGGCACACACCGACCGGATAACACACCGACGCACTCTTCCACTTTATTCATTTAGCTTATATTGCGCACTCAAATGCTTAAAAAGAAAATTAAAAAAAAAAATTTTGCTTGCCATCTAGCCTGCATTACAAACTTTAGGATATCATCCTCATTTCTCCACTTGCCGCAATAGGACAATTTGATCTTTAAAGGAAGAAGAAGACAGATTCACTCATTATTCACATCCATCCATCCAAGTGTTAGTGATGGTTGAAAAAGAAAAATGGTTCGTGGCACTTTTTTATTCTGACAATTTGATATTCTAAACCTACTCTTCTTTACAAAGAGGAATGATAATTCTAACTTGAGTGAATGCAAGTGGAGAGGCGGACGCACTGCTTTGATAACTGAGATGACCTGCACCTGCATTGTCGGTGATATTCACCGGTGTGAAAATAGTGACGATCCAGAACCCCAATCAAGGCTTATGGAGCCTACTTATATATCAAATTTCCCTGCTTTGATTCCTGAAATCAATCAATTCAAATGAGTCAATTTGTGTGGCCTTTTTGTAAAGCCACCGACTAAGAAATCAAATAATGTAATTGCCTGACACAAACAATTTGGAGGACGGCATTGTTGTACTGGATTTGTACTTTTGATCGACAGGTACATTTTCTTTGCTCCACCAGTTTCCTCCAGAAATTGTGCTTCACTGTTCCTCCATTATTTGTTTTGGACAGATTGTATAAGATTTATTTAATCGATATTGTGTGCTGTTAGCCCGTTCTCAATCGGTGATTACAAATGCATGTGTCATGTTTTTAGTTTTTAGTCTTTGTTTTCTTGAGAAAGGAATGAGTATTAAAGAAAAAAAGTCATGAATCTCGTCTTGATTTTTATCTCCATAAATCTACTTATCCAAAACTTCAATGTCATCAAATCATGGAGAACTTATAGCTTCTTCAAGATCTTGGGGTTAGCTTAAGTGGTGACGGTGGATGGGATAATGAGTTCTCCAAAAATCGAACTTTTGACCTATCTAACCATCAAGAGTTCGATTTTTTTTTTCTTATATATACTGAAAAACTATCTCAATTTTTGAATTGTCCTTGCATTAAAAGTTCAAATCCAACGTTAGACAATCATGGACGTAAGTTTTGAAATTTTTCTAACAAACGATAGTGTTTAGTAGATTAATAGTTAGTTGTTAGGGAGAAATCGGTAGAGATTGAAATCGCATCACAATACATATGTATGATTGCTTTTTGTCACTACGTAAAAATGCCATCTGCAAGTTTTGGACATTGTTCTATAACCCTTTCTTTTTCAGTTTTCACTTTTCCTTTTACTGATGACAAAATAAAAAATTGTCACTTTTCAATTTTTTGAAATCTCCCTAAAATCAATCAAGTTTTTATTTCATTAGTTTGGTTTCCTTCCTCAACACCAATTCTACGTCACAAAACATGCAACGCACTCCAAACTCAAAACTTAGCTTTTGGGTCGACTTGGATCCGGCCGCACAACTCTTGGTTTCGAGTGAATCAAATTCAGGCCTCGACTGCCTCAGACCAACCCTTGGATCTAACGACTAAAAGGTACCGTTTGGTACACAGATGGGATGGGACAAAACGGATGTTTCGTGTTATGTTTAGTACGCGCAAGATGGAACGGGACAGTTGTTCCGTTCTGCGTTTGGCAGCGCATGGACGGAACGGAACCAAAAGATTAAAATGATTAAAATACTCATGTTCCGTCTGTTGTTTGGTACAATATTTATGCGTGAAACGGGATGAGACTTTTTTTTTTTTTTTAAACTTGTTCAAATTTGAACACTATATGCTTATCCATTATTTGTTTTTCTTGGTCCAAATTTTATTAGGTATATATTGTGTTCCGCATGCAAACCCCATTAAAATTTGTAATTCGTCTATGATTTAGGTTGATGAAGTAAGACTTCCTCGAGCCAGTGAATATTGGAAGTGATGAGATGGCTAGCATGAATGAGATGGCTGGTTCTGTCTCTATGGTCATGGTTGCCATGCAATATTGAAAAATATATAAGTTTAATGATCATGCATGACCTGAACAAACAAGCATATAATTGCACCATAAGTTAACATACATCGTCATATAGGGCGATAAAGGTAAACAAATGCCCAAAAAATTACTAATTCTACATCAAAGTAGTGCCTCTTGATCTCCATCTCAACATCAAGGCATGTGAACTCACACAAATGCCTATGGGTGAAGGAGTCCTCAGCTCTAAAAACATGACCAATCTCAAAAATACGGCCGAAGTCACCACATATAGCCATCTGCTTGTGAAGCTGAGGTGACTGGGCAAGGCAGGCATCTTGACCCTTGTAGTTGAGTCTAAAAACAGCAACTCCACCTGCACTTGAACCAGCAATCAGCTTTGGCGAATGGATTTCAAAAAAGCCTTCGGATATCAAGAACTGCCTAAAGATCTACACAACAATGCAACCGACATACAGAACTAAACTCTTAACGATTTTCTCTAGCTTTAAAAAGATAAATAGCTGCAAATGGTGGAAAGACTACTTACATTGCCAACTTGACTCTGAATGCGGAATATCCCCTGATTCGCAGGTGTTCGCAAATCAAGAACTCGGTTATTCAAGCGGGTATCCTGATTAACTCGAACAAGTGTCTCTCCGGCCTATAAACCCATCATACCACCCAATGAATATACACGTACAAAGAGAGAAAGTCCCAGAAAGCTTAACAAAGCTTCAATAATCCATTTCAAAATAAATCATCTAAATGTACCTGCAAAGCCTTTTCGATTTCGACATCACTCAGAGCAACATCCTCAATGTTAATAGGTAAAACAGCAGCCTTACTCACACAATACAACTTCCTCACTTGAACCTCCACCTAATTAAGATCAACATCTCAATTATTTCAATCAAAACCCAATACAATCATAGGAACTTTCAATCCATTTCTTTCTTGTTTTTTTTTTTCCTTTTTTTTTTTTTCAAGAACCTATATAATATTATTATTTATTCATCAATTTCTTCTGAAAATCCATGGATATCATCACCATCAATCGCCCCAAAATCCCCAGCAGAAAAACAACCTTGTTTCCGCCCAAACCCCATCCACTGTTTTCATTGCCTAAACCCAGCATGACCCGTCCAACCCAAAACCCAGCGAAGAATGCACTCGCACTCCCAGTTGCACAAATCTTAACAAAACCCAGTAATTAACAAATCAAATATGATAATTAACAAAACCCAGTAATTAACACAACCCAAATCAGCAACAAAAGATATCAATTGCATACCTGGGTCAATCTGCAGTGCGACGGTAGTGGCTCCGTGCTGCTGCGTGCTGGCTGGGTGCAGTCGACGGCTACAGGAGAGGATGAAGAAGAAGGATGAGAAGGAAAGATGAGGAGGAAGTCTACGGGAAGAGAGAGCAGCAGCAGAGAATGGATTTAGGGTTTGTTTTTAGGATTTGAATGGTGTAAATATTGAAAAAGACAAGGGGTTTTTTTGTCTTAAAATGTTATAAATTTGTGTCCCACGGATGTGGAACAAGTCGTTCCAGGGAGGGAGCCGGAACGAAAAATCACCCAAAACTTGTCCCGTGGAACAGCGTGTTCCACCCATTTTAGGTGCACCAAACATGAGACGAAACGCCTGGTCCCACTCCGTCCCGTTCCGCGTACCAAACGATACCAAAATTCACCAAAAGTCATTCGAACCCAAAAAAAAAAAAAATGCCATAGACTCTTTTTCATGTGTCATTTCATTCTATAACTCTAAATTCACAATTTAACAACACGAAAAAAGAAAAGAAAGAAGTCATTTCTAAGTTCTGCATAAAACGAAAATTGAAGAAAATTACCAAACAAATTTCCTCATTATTATAAAATAAAAAATTGGGTTTTCAAACGAACCGTTTGTATTCGATGCCATGAATGGCATATTCATTTGTGTCATATGGAGTAGATGCGAAATTTTGATGTTGGGTAGTAAATTTGTTTTCTAGCAAGTACAACAAGAAGCACAAGATATTTATTACAAAAGCAATGTGTTGGATTTTATTAAACCGCTGAAAAAAGTAGTTGGAAGCTTTTTGATATTTTCATTAGAATTCCCTGCACCTTGTTCGATTTGTCCTGCTAATTTATATGGATTTACAGAAACTGGTGAAGGAGATTTAATATATTCAGTTGCCGATACAGAAAAATCTGATCTATAATATCATCAAATTAAGATATTATATTAGTTTTCTAACCAATAAAATGAACTACAAAGCAAAACAAGTCAGTTGACCATGCAAAATTTGTTTTTTATTTTGGGTATAATGGATCAATTGGAAATGGACTTACGTGAAAGAAGCCGTTAAAGTAGTGGTATCACAAACCTATCACGTATGGTTAATTTTGTCTTAATTTTTTATATAACATCTCATGAGTAGTTTGAAATTCTCCTCCTTAACGTCTCCAAATTTTCTTAAAATAATGCAAAAGCCTTCTTAATGAGGACCAGGAAGAAGAAGTAAGGTGGTAGTTACAGAGAAACCAAGAGAAACAAGAAGAAGATAAGAAGAAAATGAAAATACTTTTCTAAATTTTCCATTAATAATCTCAATGCGATGTTTATCACATGGATTAGCCTATTCGTTAATTTAACAAATTACAAACTAAACAAAACACCTTTCTTGTAATGGGGGCAATTCTACAATTAAAAGCCTCACAAATCCCCCCTTCTTTTTCTCTACTTTCAGCTAGCTTTGACCCAAATTGTATGCACATATTTGCTAATTGCTGACGTGGGCTCTCTCTTTTCTTTTTCTTTTTTTCTGTTTTTTGAGATAGATTTTGGCCTCAATTATAGATAGCCATAGCCATCTATATATGTTAAGAAGTGATGCTGCAGGCTGAGGCCTTGGACTTGTCCAGAATAGACCACATCACCTGAACATCTTCATATGAGCATGCCATCACTTCTCCATGCAGATCCATCACGCTACTTTCACTCCCTGTTCAAATTAAGTACCATGGAAATCATCAACTCTTAGGTTCCCATACATGACTCGTATACACAATTCACATTAATATCCATATGTTGATATTATATAAGAGCAACATTCTCTTGCCAAACGTGTGTATATCCAAACTGTGAATCTGAACCGGATATTCTGACAAGAATCGATCGTTTAAATTTATAGTCTGACAAGAAAACGTCAACACTTTCCGGCACATAAGAAAAGTGATGTAATATGTTTGTATATACCTTGAAGCTGAGACTTCTTCTGCTCTCTCCCTCCTGGCTGCTGGTTGAAGAAAGTGCAAGCTTTCCTGAATGGAGTTGTAATAGTTTTCTTCCACGAAGCCATTTGTGCTGTTAAAACTTGGCGTTCTCCAATGAAAATGTTATGTTTAGAATACAGTAGTCTGAACGAAGAGGACGACTGAAATCTCTCTCAGGCCTAGCTTTTTATGCAGGAGCTGCGTAAGGAGGATATGGCACAATAATTATATAAGATAGTGTATATATATAGGAGTGGAGAGGAAGAGTGGGGCAAGATCCGTGAGATGGGCTTTTTGGAGATTAGAGGAACATCACTATTTTCTTTTTATTTTTATTTTTTAGTTTTTTGGTTTTTAAATTCTCTTATCTCATCATCTCAGCAAGGTCGCCGACTGCACCAACGCACATGGCGCACGCTCCCAAACACACCCTCTCTCTCCTCCCCCACCCCTCTCTCCCTTGGACTCTCTACACGTGAACACTTTTCTGAATGTGACGTATATTATGGAATTTGCTTTGCCCATCTTACTCTTTCTCCTCCTCTTCTTCTTCTTCTTCTTCTCTATGGTTGTTACATAAGTTATGAAATTGCCTTTCATTGGCCTAATTGACTTTTGGGTCACTTTACTATTACATTACACAGCGTTACAATCATTATGTTGATCATTTGCATGCTTATAGTCTGCAATTATCCAATTACTTTGCCTATTCTTAGCATGTCATACAAGAAAAATTAGGTTAACAATTGTATGTCACGTGACATGATGAGTGACATACGTTGTTTAGTTAAAACTTTCACATGTTATAAGTTTTTGTTGCATTACAATCTTTTTGTTTAATAAACTGCATGCCTATCTGATTCCCAAAATGTGTGCAACTTAACAAATTTGGTTGCTCCTTTCTTTACCTGACAATTTAGAAAGTTTGGGCTGGGACTTCCTTGTCACTTGGCAAGATGAGTGGCAATACTGTCTCATTAAACCATAACGTCTGTTACAAGCTTTTGTTAGTAAATTCAAAGTATGCAGTAGATGTTATGGATTAAGTGGACATCTTTGTTACTTATCCTCTCACGTGACATGAAGTTCACGTCTAAATTTGTTTTTATTTTTTATGTAACACTGACACATGCATGGATAGGTTAGATGCATTATCGAGTTAAAACATAATGTGTTACAAACTTTTTATTTATAATAGACATGTTATGTTTAATTGAACAATCATTCAGCATTCATCGTGCCTCATTATTGAAAAGTTCCTACCCCAATGGGTTTTCACCTGTCAGTCTGTCACATGCATATTCAGTCTAGTTGTTGCTTCAATTCATCTTTATAACTAATCTGTAACATTTGTGAGCGACTGACTAACTGAGCCAGCACTCCGAACCCAATTCTGCAAGGGATATACATGACTATGGGACAGGCCTAATTAGCCATTATTATCTCACACTTACGTGACTCCCACATGCAATGGTAGGAACAAAGACTGACCAAGACAGCCAAATATATTGCAGTATTTATACATTTATATATGCTTATATACCATGTCATGATGTGAAGGTTTAAAGAGTCTTTTACTTGTGAAAGGAGAAATTTTATAAGGGCTTATAAGTAAGTTCGGTTATTCTCTATATTGCCAATTGGTTTAATACTGAAACCCCAATTTTCTACATGGTATCAAAACAAGTTAGCCCACGTGTGGCCCAACGGTCACACGTACCCCATGTCACCCAATTCATGTTGTCCACGTGTTTGCTTGAAAATTAGTCACACGTGGACAACAGAAATCGAGTGACGTGGAGCACGTGTGGCTATTAGGCTTCACACGTTGGACAACCTACTCTGAAACAATGATGAAAGTTGGGGTTCCATCATAAAACCAATTGGCAATATAGAAAGTAACCCAATTACTTATAAACACATGTAAAATCTCTTATTTCCTCAATACATGTGAAATTGATACTCTAAACATATAGTTAAATTGATCCATCCCAACATCAAACCGTACTTTGATTAATATAAAAACCTCATTAGTATGCTTTGATTCTAATCATAAGTTGACAAAAGCATCCACACACCTCCTATATGGGAACATATAAAATGTAATTAGTTTTATATGAACTACTTGCATTATCAAATTTGACAAATTGCAGTCTCAATGCAGCAGCAATATTTGCCATATTAGTGGGCACATGATCTTCTTTGCATAATGTGTTTTTCTAGTAAACCAAGACGGTCATGTTGCTAACATCGTAAGTAAGAAAAGGGATTCTTAATTTTTAATTAAGTAGGGTTTTGCCTTCCTTGAACTCTCAACAACACCATAGTTTAATACAAACCAATAGTTTAATGGTTAATTGTTATAGAAACTTAGAATGCTCTGTTATGTCTGAGCACTTATTCTGATGTAAAATTTTCATGCAGTGGGAAAGTTCATCCCCCTTTGATATCCCTAGCTTCGGGTTCGTTTTAATTTTTTAATTTTTTACAAAAGTTTATTGATTAATTTAGCTTGTTTATTGCATCCCACATGCTCTCAATGACAGTTTACCCTTGATAAAATATATACTTATGATTATGGTTTATATATAAGTGGATCTTTTGATTAAATAATAACTGCCATGGATGATTGGGGGGCAATTTTCACATGTAGACAGACTGCATGTTTCTGCACTAAATTGATGGTCGGTTATTTTTTTTCCAAAACATTTGAATGGTGGTTTTCGGTTTTGGTTTGCTACTTTATATGCCAACATATTTACATCATATTACATGTACAGAGTTATTTTGTTATAGATACATCACAAAGTTTATATGCCTACTGTAATTTTTTTATTTTTTATTTTTTATGTGTTGGACTGTAATTTACACGTAAAAGATAAATAACATTTTAATCTTTATATGTAACGAGTCGAACAATATTAATTATAAACACGTAGTTTTCTCTTCTTGGGGCCCCTTCCTTTTCCTTTAAAGATGCATGTCCTTTTTCTTCTTGGCCTTTTCTTTGATTAGGCTCAAAAGAAGCACAAGACGACCCTCATAATAATTGACTGGTGATGGGGGTGATGACTGTTGCGCAAAGGAAAGGAGATGAGGTCTGAGTTTCTGTAAGTGAATGAGATCGAGATGCATCTGATCGAGTGGAGATTTGGATTTTGCAAAGTGCAGGATCATACGGACAGAAACCCAAATACTCAAACAAACTACTTAATCCTGCCTAACCCGACCCAAGTTCGTGCAAAAATAGGACACAATTGATTTTGGTTTGTTTCATTTGCCTCAACTTTTGGACTATCAGACTGTGAGGCTTTTAGCTACTCCACACAATCATCATGTATTCAAGTGTGTGTGTGTCTCTCAAAGCAAATGGAAGTGGCTTCCACGTAACTTTCATATCTGGAATTTGCTTCCATCGGTGTCCATCCCTCCTAGTTCCCACTTGGGCTCATCTTCATTCTATATTAACTCTTAATTAAGCTTAATCAATTATTTAACTAGAGCAAGTTGTCTAACTGATCTACTCCTTATTATAACATGGTTTATGAAATATTAACGTTGTCATTCATTTGTAATATAATACGTAAATTAGTAACATTTCATGACAGTGTGAATGACACATCCCGATCCCTATATTCTCTGAATACCAGGATAGGCATGTGCTGGTCAACAACCGAGGGTGACGAAAGTCATTTATTGAATGCAAATGCTGAGAAAAATGAATAAATAAGACTTATAATTTTAATTATGAAGAATAAGCACTAAAGGAACGTGTTCAGAGTATACAACTAACTAGAATACTAAAGGAAATAATATAAAATTGAATGAATAAAAGAATGGGTCCTACGCCGAGAGGACTCCAAGATGCCGATGTGGAAGTGCCTTGACGCGGGGATTGTATGCCTCGATTCTAATTCCTGAAGGGGGCGCAAAACAAATATGAGTAGGCCAAGTTAATATATATATATATATATATATATATATATAAAATAAAACAGTTATCAACATATTAACCCCCATGTCTTATGAAAACACATATAGCATGATAAATAAAATAGGTTTTCTGAAACCTAGCATGCCCTGCAATGTCTCAAAACATATCTCGTATATAGTGTGCTAACTAGTGGTATCAATATCAATAACAGTATCAGAACCCTTCATTTGCCAAACAGGCATATCAATATCTCTTGCCAAACAGGCATATCAATATCATTTGCCAAACAAGCCATTTAGAACTCTTCCTTCATTTGCCAAACAGGCCCAACCTACGCCCGGCTCGAAGCCAATAGCAACAACATTGCCAAATAGGCCCAACCTACGCCCAGCTCGAAGCCAATATCAATATCATCGCCAAACAGGCATAATAGTGACTACTAGGTACGCACAAAACCAATGAACATATATATACATATCTCAAAATCAACTTCTTAATATAAGTCATCCATCATCTATGCTATAAAGAGGCATTCGAAACATGTTCTAAATATTATATCGTCATCCATCAAATATTCTATAAAGAACATGGGTTATAGGAAAAATAGTAATAATTCAAACTAGCCTCAGTAAGCATGTTATCTCATAAAATATTTCATAAAGCGTAATCATTAAATCATGCTTTTCATGTATGCATTTCTACTAATAAAACATGCAATTTAGAATGGGTCCACTCACAGATTCTTAGCCGCTGAAGAGCCACGCAAAACTAGCGAACACGGAATCATCACAAATAATTGTCCCTAAGCACATAATGGGTACACTTAATAAAACTCTATTATAACAATTGAATTTGGGAAAATGGACATTGGAAATGAATTCAGGACGTCGAATTACCCTAAGAAGGGTCCTGGATAAATTTCGTAAAATATCAACATAAGAATATTTCAGAGAATATACCAAAAATATTCCAACCGGATCTGGGCTGGGTTGATGAGTTTGGGCCGAAAGGTCTTAGGCCCAAAGCCCTAAATTCAAAGGGTTTAGGGTTTAAAGTGCACGGGCCTAAGGTCCTAAAGGGAAATGGCTTAAAGGCCTTTAAATTAACAAAATAATTAAAAATAAAAAGAAATAAAAGGGTTGGATTGGGCTG